AAAAAAAAAAAAAAGAAAAAAAAGAAGCTTTTAAAAAGTATTTAGCATTTATTTTTCATCGAATCGTTAAAAAAAAAAAATTTTTATTTTATTTTTATTTTCTTTTCATTACTTTATTTTATTTCTTTCTTATTCTGTATTTTTTTCATTTTTCTTTTCTTTTTATTTGCATTTCAATAAAATATTTATTTTATCTTTTTTAAAAAAAAAATGCGCCGCTTGCATCCGGAATCCGGATAAATTAATTATTCCAGAATTATTGTGTTATTAAAGAAAAAATGAATGGTATTATAAGTTGAAATATTCCATTCATATTATTAAAATGTTTATTACTAAAACTTCTTTCAATTTTATTATTATTCGAATCGTGATATATATTATTTTAAAGGCTATTCTTCGCTAATTTCATGGCGATGGAGTTCATTTTTAACTTATTTATTCCCATAAGTTCTATACTTTATTAATAAAGTATGTACTGTATTAAATTATGAGATTACCCAAAAATTCTGACATCTATAATCTCGAATTCTAGATGGCCCGCCAGTTTTAAAATCCTGGCAAATCAAGGTTACAGAACCCAACGGTTAAAAATACTGCTGGTAAAATCCCGAAGTTTAGAAGTCTTAAATTGTATTATGCATATCACTTTAAATTGAAATAATAAATGTTTGTTAAATCAAATTAATATAATTATTAACAATATTAACGCAAAATAAATATTATTATTAACGCAAAATATTTGCAAGTTTTAAAGAAATATAAAATTCCATTTATCTTTTATTTTTTTTTAAGTAAGTTAATTAAAGTCTCAATCAATTTTAAAAGAAAGCTATTCCATGATCCCCCGACTATCAATAATACATCAGATACTGTACAGTACATCAGCTTGAGTATTCACTTGTTTCTCACAAACTTCACATTGTTTTAAAAATAAATTCGACTAGTAAAAAAAAACAATACAAAAAATACATTAATTGGAATTGAAATTTTACAAATATTTTGTGATAATTTTACCAAAATATTTTGTGATAATAATTTTATTAGCGATGCTCTAATAAAGAATTTTTATCCGAAAATTTCCATAATTTCTCCGTGGCTTCCGTGAAAATGATACATTCACACGGGATATCCGTGTTAGATCCATGAAAATGATACATTCACGGAAAAATCATGGAAATATAAAACACATCAACATTTTTTACAGATTACAGTGATGCAAATAGCCGAATATACACCTTTAGGATTCAACGTCATTTTTTTAAATTATAGTAAGATTATGATGGGTGTCAACATTTATCGTAATTAACTAGTATAAAATTAAATAAATACTTTAACCTATAACGACATAATGGATTGAATTTTCTCTTGGTCGGACTTGTCTCTGTTCTTATGCCCTTGGATTCTGGACTCTCAGTATCTCTTAGTTTTTATCAACCCGTAAGTACTTTTCTTTGTAAAGTTTTTTTATCCCGCATTTTATAACGATTGTACCAAAATAAATTTATCATCATGTGATACCATGTTGACCAATTTTATTGGTCATCTAATGTCGCTCATCACGCACATGACGGTCATGTCGTACATAAGAAATCTGAATAATAGTAGTATAGTACAGATCACACTATAATAAAAGGCAAAATCCTACATTTAACAATTATCATTTGTACTAATAAATACCTGCCTCATTATTAAAGCTGTAAATACATTATTGAAATTTGATTAATTAGTTTTATTATTTTTCACATAATAGTTTACCCTGAATTATAACAAATGGTTATGTATCCTTTATTTTTTAAATAAAAAAAAATAAGAATTAACTTAAGTTTGATTAATGCTACATGAAATTAAAATATGAAATAATCCCACTAGTGTACATAGATATATAATCGTATCGGAAAGTGATACCCGATTTAAAATTGAAGACAAAAACAAAAATACGTGTATTTTTTCACTAGTAAAATAAAAATTTATACTTGATAACGCCAAAACAGCAGCCTTCTTAAAAAGAACTATCTAAATTTCATCTTTTCTTTAGCACAGCTTTAAGACTCTTGGCAGAGCATCACACTTCTAGGTAATATATTAAATAGCTACTAAATGTTTTCCGGTTTGTTTCTGATAAATTCGCTGACAAATCAATAGTTAAAATTTTATTCAATTTTAACTTCTTCGTTATATACGTTAATATTTTTCTCTAATTTTGAAAAGTGGTTCAATAATCATAGCTGATATTTTGATCATAGAAATTATTGTAGGACATCTTAAAAAGAACAAATACCGGATAGCACTGACTAAGGAATCCCCATTTTGACGTACCCTCCTTATAATATGTAGAGGTAATTTTTAATTCTGGTAAAGTTAGGTTAATTCTGGCCGATTTTTCCATGTTCCATACAAAGTATCCCGGGTACGATCCAATTTTTTAAATAAGGTAAATTGGTTTATACCCGGGTACCTTACGGTAAGTGAAAAGTTTCCACAACAAAACAAAAAAAAATGAAGTATTGTAACACTCTATAAAATAAGCAGATACGTTTTTATACTGAAAGATATGGTTTGTATACTGAGAGATACGTCTAGTCATCTAGTTACGTCTAGATACGTTTAGAGATACGGAAAAATGCTGAAAAAAAACGTATCATGTGAGATACGGCCTATATAATGGTAATTCCTTTCCACAATTCTGTACTACTACTTTCTACTATTAAATTGATCTCATCTAATATAGTAATATAACTATCCTTCTTCTTAACATTTCTTTCATAAAAGCTTTAAACTGTAAATTTCTTAACATTTCTACCTAAAGGTAGTTCTAATTCTAAAATTATTACCAAAATCTGAAATACTGAATCTGAAATCTAAAATATATTTAAAAACCAAATTTCAAAATGCCAAAATACGAACTTTGCCAAAATACCAAAATTTGTATTAATAATAAATTTATAATAATATAACTTATAAAACCTACTATATATTTTATAATATTTTCATTCTGCTTCTTTAGACAATAACATATTGAAAAAAATATTTATTTAATAAAGGTATTATTGTAAAGTATAAAAGACTATTTTTTAATTTAGCATATTAATGGTGGCTGCAAATATAATGAATTACGTTTTTAAAAAAGGATTTTTTTTAAATCTTTTAAAAAAAGTCTAATATTTTTTTATAAAAAAAAAATTACTGAAATGATTTTAATTAAAAAAGCAAATATCAAAATGGTATAGCATTAGAAAATTTTAGTTATATCATTTAGTTATATTCATCCATTACATATATTAGTTAGGCCGCTCTAACAAATAGTTTTTAACATCACATAGCACAAGAAAATTAGGGTAATAAAATTTTAAACATACAAAAAATCATGTGACTAATAAAGCTAATTGACCGATAATATTTAATACAAAGTGTTTGTTTCAATCCAATTTTTTGGCAAAAATGTGATGAATCTGACTTAATTTTTTAATTCATATATAGAATATATTACATAGAAAATGATTTTGATATTAGCCTTTAAGCTTATTTTTAAATTATTATGGGAATTTTAATTGCTTCTAAAAATTGTGATTGATTACACATATCAAAAGTTAATTAATCATCGAAATTAATAAAGAAAGTATTTTCTTCATTTTCCAAAGTTTTCAGGTTCTAAAATCAACGTTTACAACATTTAATCACTTGGCCAATGACCGCCAATCAAATATAATCCACCAAATATTGTCTATATTGATCAATTTTAATCGAGAAATCCAGAATAATGATTGATTATATTTTATTTGATTACAGCGTTGAGATAATTTCGCCCATAGTTTCTGGGATGCCAATTGGCTTATAAATTAAAAATTCATCATCCAGACCTGTGTTAGCTGGTTTTCTTATGGAACTATTAGTGGATGGGTACATATTTTATAATACTCAGTAATTATCCTGTTATTATAATATAATAAGCTAATATTTTCAGTAGTTTACCTCAAACCTTTTTAAAAGCCACAAAATTGGCACTGTAAGGTATATGATTCAACAATGGCCCACAGCCCCACACTAATTATTATAGAATTAAATATCAAAAGTTATGTTATTATTTATATTTTGGTTGAATGTTGATTTAATATAAAGATTTCAACCCACTATCCCACTATCAGATGGTCATGTTTATATTTCCAGTTAAGTGCGACGCGTCCTTTTAACTTTTACATGTCATTTATTATATGAAAAAATATCTAATAATTATGTAATTTATGTAATTGTAGTTTGATAAAGCAGCTGTAGGATAAACTGTAATAACTATGTATTCTAATGTATGTTTTTGTAGCCGGGTATGATGAGTATATTGAATATATTTGAGTGCTTACGCATAACTCATGTAACTATAAATAGTATTTTTATGCATAAAAAAATAGGTTCAATAAAGTTTGAGTGCTGAGATTTAATAATAATTAACCGAAAATATTCTGTGGTAAACGCGTAATTAATATATATTTGTGTGTTAATTTGCGTTACAAAAAAATAATCGACTTTTTTATTCCTATAAAAATCCTTTTTTTCTACGCGTAATTTTTTTTAAAATATTCCTTCTTTTTCAAGACATTTGTTATAACTTGTAAACTTGCAGTTAAGTTTTAACATTTTTTTTTTTTTGAAAAGTTTATAATTTTCTCAAATAAAATTTTTCAAAAAGTAATACTATAGTGTACTAATCATTTTTGTTATTATATCAATACGGAAAAAACAATTCCCGACGTATCTTTGGCCTGAAAGTTGTAGATTCTCCTCAGTTCTGTTGATGTTTCTACAACACCACTGATAAGTGATAACGCTCTCACAAAGCCACGCCTGGGGATGCTCTTACACTACTACTATCAGATTAGCAGAACAGGACTAAAAACATGACACTATCCCGAATATGCATCTCCGCAGTCCAACTGTAGAGTACGTTTATGGCTGGACTTCTTTGAAACGGAAGCCGGATTTAAAAGAACCCTAATGCGTATCTGTCTGTGCATTCTGTGTTTATGGCTTGAGTTCGTTGAAACGGAAGCCGGGTTTAAAAGAACCCTAAGACACGCACGAGGCCGTTGTATATTCTGGGAGTAGATGTCTAGCTATGATGATTTCAAAATTTCATTTTTTCATTGATGAAGCTTATTTACATGCTACATATTTTACGACCCTCGTTCCAATTTGATATATTACGATCGAATATCATAATAACAATCAAATAAGTTTAAATGGATCGGATAGACGGATGAGATGACGGACTATCCGGTTTATATCATCTGAACTTATTCTTGTATACTGATGCCTAAATGTTCGTGGAGCAAATACGCGTACAATTGACTTCAACGAACTCCTAGAAGTTGGAGATCCTTAAGAAATTGTACCTCTAATTTGTCTTTGAATTGTTACGCAACATGGTACTGTAAGGTTAGGCAATGCGCATGTGAAGTCATAATCCCGAATAGATGAAGGAGTACCGGATTCATCAAAATTGCGAGAAATTTCCTGAATTAATCCCTGTCCATTTTTTGCACACACGGGCTTTTCAGAAGAGATACCAGAGGTATTACCAGAAGTAACAGTATCAGATATTTTTGTAACGATACTTGACTTTGCCCTGCTTTACTAAGCTTCTTTTCCTTATTTCGTTTCCTAATCTCATCGCTAATATTTTTCTTATGGACCTCATCCGTCTCAATTTCACATTCTCAGCTTCAAGCTCAGTGATACGCTGTATCAATATTTCAAGCTCTGATGATATGATCTACAATGTTTAAGCTATATCATGGCCGTTGACACATTAGAAAAGGTGACTACTTTTACCGTAGTATAGAAAGCTACTATTTTTTTCCTATTATGTATGGTTGTGCGTGTAACATAAAGTAGTTTTTTAATAAAAAAGATAGAACTTTTATGAAGCAGCCGATGAAGGATCATCAAAATACTTGCCAGGTATACTCTTACTAGACGAATTTAGAAAAAAAAATGGTAGAATACCCATTCCTATTCCTATTCCTATTCCTAATCGTATTCCTAGTCGATTGTAACGGCTCCATATGAACTCATCTTATTTATATTAAAATAAAATTTCGTAGTACATATTATAAACTTCTATTCTTTGAACATATTTTAGTAACATATTAAAAGAACGGCTAAGAAAATTTCTTGGAAAAAAAAGGTTAAATTTTATAAATGATTACGCAATGTTTGATTACTCTCACATCAGTCACATGAAAAACACGTAATATTTTTTGATGTGAAGCGTACAATATTTTAGCTTTATACGTATCTTTATTCGCTTTATACGTATCTTTTCGTACTTTATTATATAACATAACGTAAAGTATGCGAATAATTTGTAATTTTCATAATTATTAAAATGTAATATTATTTTAGTCTGAGAAAGAACAAACAAAAATTCACACATATAGAATGAGGATTTAGAAGTAATTAAAAAAATATTATATTTTTGCCTAATTGTTCTTCTATATATGCATCTGTTATTTTAATTATCACCATTAATTAAGGTAATATAGTTCATTAGTTCATTATATTGCTACAGTACTACTATCAAAATGTTTTCTATGCATTTTTTTTAAAAAAAATTCTGAACTGAAGTTTTAGATCTATAGATTTCAGATTTATACTAATATATAACAAGTATAAAATACAGTTATAAGGTTAAATTTGATGATAAACAAAATTTTGCTTTTACATTATTTTAATATTCTATTAACCATGTAAACAAAGAATTAAATGCAATTTTCGGAATTGATATTGAGTTTGGTAAAATCAACTTTTATTGATTCTAATGTAGAAATAAATATTGTATAAAAATACGATTTAATAAAACAAATTAAATTCATATAATTTACCTGAATATTCTATTCCAATTAAACCATCATTACTATCGGCATTTTTTGGTTCTGGAAGATTTTTAAAATCTAAAATTCTACTTGTATAAACTGCTTGAGGATGTGTCATATATGGGAGTGTACTTGTAGAAGATAATGGTGATTGAGCTGTTGAAAATGATGAGGATGACTTTTTATTAACTTCATCTGCTTCGTTGATTTGTTTGTTGATAATACAATTATTTTTATTGCAATTTTTCCATAAATCATCAAATAACTTTCGTAATTCTTCTGCATTAGGTCGGTTTAAAGGGTCTGCATCCCAACATTGATTAATAATGTCAAAAATTAATTGAGGAATTTTATAATTAGACTTTGGCCTCAACCCATTACAAATTTTTATTGTTAAGAATTCATCGTGAGCTATATCATAATATGGAGGGAAACCTGTACAAATTTCATATGCAATAATTCCAAATCCATAAATATCACTTTTTTGAGTATATTCTTTTCCTCTTAAAACTTCTGGAGCTACATAAGGTAATACACCATATATTTTTTTATTATTATTTTGAGAGGATTTGACATTTGCTGGTTGACATAATCCCAAGTCAGTAATAAAAGCTTCTTTATTAAAATCACTTAATATATTTCCACAATGAAAATCTTGATGAATTAATCCTTTTTTATGAATATCTCTAAGACCAAGTGCAATACAATATAAACTCCACAACTTTTGATCCCAATCCAGTGAAATAAAGTTGTTATTTAAATGTTGTCTTAAGCTACCATTTTTTAATTCCATCACCATTATAAAATTATTTGTTTTTGGATCTTTGGTAATACCAAAACAACGAACTATATAATTAGTAAAATGTGCTAAAATATTTGATTCAACCTTAAAAGAATACTATAGTTAGTTTAACATTTATAAAGGCTAATACTGCTAAAATCAGTAAAAAATATCTTACTTCTTTTAAAAAATCTGCTGTAATATCTTGGGAATTATGTAAGCACTTTAAAGCGACTTTTGTATCACCTATTCTTTTCAAATTTTTCAATTGAAAATCATTTCTAGGTACTTTCCAAGGACCATCTTTCCAAACTGCTTTAAAAGTAGTTCCAAATCCCCCTTTTGCTAAATATTCAACATCTTCAAATTTATCATATTCAATCCATTCTATGATTTGGCGATTATTTTTAGCGTTTAATTGTGCTTTTTGAATAAATTCATCAACGTCATGATTTCCACTTGTCCAATTTTTGAAATTTTGTCTAAAATATTGTGATTTACATAACTGACAATAATCATGACCAGTTCTAGGTTGCTTACAATTGTTACATAAATCATAATCTTTATAACGATTTTTTAATTCTTTGTCTGTTATTAGTTTATTAATTAACGATTCTTGTTCTTTAGTCAAATTCCAAATGTTAAAATCTTTTATTTGTTCAAATACATCATCACTTAGTTTAATTTCATCCATTTTAATAAATAATTTTTTAACAAAAAAATGTTATTAATTCGTATATAAAAATTACTGAAAAATAATAAAGGAAAGAAAAAAAATGAAAAAAAAAGTGGTGAAACGTTATTTTATGTTGAATAATGGCGTGAAACAAGACTAAGTTAAATACACAAATAATCTGATCGGCAATTACAATTTTGGTAAATAAGGGTTTTTATTTAAATTTTCTATAATAGGTAAGATTAAATAAATATTTTAAATATAGTGAGTATTATGTTATGGCAAGCCGAGTTGGGCGGGTGAAAAATCAAGCATGGATTGATAAAATGTTACACCATGCCTGACATTTTACCTGTTCATGCTTATCTGTACGTGCTTGATATTTTTATCTGATGTTTATCTGTACGTGCTTGATGGTTTTATCCGACCATACTTGACATTTTATCCGTCCATGCTTGATGTTTTTATCCATCTGTGCTTGATATTTTTGTCCGTCTGTGCTTGATGTTTTTGTCCAACTGTGTTTGATTTAATCCAACTATACTCGATAATTTTATCTTTGTCAAAAATTAGTTTCTTTGTCAGCACAGGGTTGATATTTTGTCGGTCACATGTTTTTAAGTTTAGCGTAGTTTTTACACGAATTTTTATTTTATTTTATTGGCTTTTTTTTTTATAAAACAATTTTTGTAGAGAATTTTATTTTTAATATAAGCAAAGGCTTTTTTTTGATAAAATTTCGTTAGAGAATTTTTTTCATTGATAGGGATAGATAATTTCGTTAAAAAATTTTATTTGATAGAAATTTCATTGGTTTGACATATACCTAATTTGTTGGAACAATTTTTTTTAACAGGAGAGATTTTTTTTTTTAATGGAGAATCCATTGAGATTTTTTTTTTTTGTAGAAAATTCTTTGGAGAATTTTTTTAAAGGGAAGATTTTTTTGATAGATAATTTCGTTAGAAAATTTTTTAACAACTGAAGTGAGATTTTTTTTGATGGAGAATTTCGTTAAGAATTGTTTTATGGGAGGGAAGTTTTTTTTGATATAGAAATTTTTTAGAGAATTTTTTTTAATAGGGAAAATGTGTTTTTGACGGGAGATTTTCGTTAGAAATTTTCTTTAATAGGGTTCGCTGGGAGTATATAAAAATTTACTTAATTTACTATGCTATTTAGGATTCTATCATAGTTTTTCTTAATTTATCTTAATCTTATTAATGTTAATATTTTTTTAATTTTATTCTTAAAAGTTAATATACTTCGCGAAAATTAATGTTTTTATTTAAAAATTAATATTTTTATTATTTATAAAATCCTTTTTAAAATTTAATAATTCTTAAAATTAATGATTCTTAATATAAATAATAAATATGAACAAAAATGCATGTTATTTTTCGCAGAGCTGAAAAGTAATCTTTATTCATAATGCCCCTATTTTTTGGCAGAACGTCCTTTCAGCGAAATGTCTTGTAACTATTTCTGGTTGAAGTAAATTGGCATTACTTGCGTACTCCTCTTAATCTTCCCATCACATCTTCCCATCACTCCTTTTTATCTCCCACTCCTCTTCGTTTCCCATCACTTCTTTTCGTCTCCATTACTCCTTTTCATCTCTCATCATCATGTCCTATTTCTCCTTTTTGTTTCCTATCACTTCTAATTACTCTTTTTTACTCCCTTTCATCTTCTATTACTTTCCATTACTCCATTATTATTTCATTTGTTTATTAGCATCTTTCTCCTTGATCATTGTAATTTACTTATTTTTTTTATTTATTGTTATTGTTTCTTTTATTTGTTCAATAAAAATAAATATGGTGATTTTTTTCTTTGAAATCGTAAAATGTGTGACTTAAATTTTAATATTGCGAATAAAATTTCATTAAATAAGATTATTTTGAATAAATATGTTTGCAAAAATTTTTTTTAAAAAATATATTTTGCAATAAAATTTTAAGTTTAACCAATCAAAATTAGATACATCATATGACATATTTGAAAAAAAACCCAGGCGATGATCGCCCAGCAACGTTTACTATCAATATATATTAAAAGTAGTTAAAATAGTAGATTTTCGAAAAATGTTTTTATGCCAATTATTTAATATTACTAATGAAAAAAGAGAAACACTTCAAAGCAAAATTTCTGCTATATACTTTTTTTAAAGTTAACATTATTTTAAAACCTTTTAATTTATATTATACAATATGATTATATAATAAGAAATTTGTAAAAAATTTCTAATTAAAAAAAAAAAAATGCTAAAATTAAAGTTTAAAATGGAATCAAAAAATACCAAACTAAAGAAAATTATTAAATAAAGTTAGATAAATTTTTTAAAAAAATGCCATAAAAATAAATTTTAGACATCTGAAATTATTAAAATAAAACAAATAAAACAAAAAAAAAAAAAAGAATTAAAATTAAATATTAAATAAAGATGAAATTAAAGAAATACCAAGACTAAAGACTAATAATAAATTTAAAAAAATAATTATAAAGATAAAATAAAAAAGTATGCTAATATAGATCAAATAGAATATTAATTATATTAATTAAACAAAGAACTGATAAAATAAAATAAAAATTAATTAAAAAAAATATTAAATTACATTAATAAGATTAAGATAAAATTAAAAAAAACTATGATATAGTGTAGTAGCTGAAATTAAGCAATTTTATATACTACTAGTAAAGCTCCGCATGAGCCAACTGGCTTGTGAGCCGAGCCATACTTAAATTGGCTTGATGCTTGACAAGCCAGCTCAAAAAAGATCAAGCTGGCACCTACAAAGTAATAAAATAAATTCTGATTGGTTACAGTTTCGGTGTCGGTCATATGCATGACTTACTATCTACCGATCCAATCGGTTGATTGATAATCAACTTTTTGTATACGAAAAATAATTTTTTTTTATGCCGATCTTTTTTAAATAATAATTTATTCATTATTATTGTTTAAAAAGATGACGAAAATGTAAGTTAAGGGAAGGATACTTTGTTTTTTTTAATTTGGAAATGTTACTAACGTTCCCTTTCTTTTTTTCTTTAGGGCCCTATAAAAAATTTTTATCCGAATATTTCCATTATTTCTCTGTGTCTTCCGTAAAAATTCCGTGAAAATGATACATTCATGGATATCCGTGTTAGCGAGATAAAAATTTCCATGATTTAAGGCTATAAATTCCATGAAAATGATACATTCATGGAAAAAACATGGAAAGATAAAACACTGATCAGATTTTTTACAGGGGGGACATTATTCTAGACGTGAATTCCATCGAAATGAAGCAAGAACAACCATTCCTTGGAGTTATGCGATAAGTAATTTAATATATAGTTATGAATTGCATTACGAAATAACACCAATGCATTTTTTTTTATTTTCAGGTTTCCGGCTAGTGGAATAATTAACCCTAACTCTTTCACGAGGATTTTTTAGATATAAATCTGGAGTACCTTCTCTTCCTTATAATCAGCAAGAATTGCCGCATATGGGTTTGTATAGTTTGGAAAGTATGTGGTTGTATAATGGCATTTAAACAATACTAATGCCAATTTACTTTTATTTTTTTAGGTTTCCGGCTATGGAATATGTGGTAGGTATTGTTTGGAAGTGTGTGGCTGTGAAATGGTGTTATAAAACACCATTAACACCATTTCTCTCTTTTTTTTTTAGGTAAAGCTCAAGCCCGGCTCAAGCCAGCTTAAGTCCAGCTCGACTTGAGCTGGGATTTATTATGGCTCGGCTTGGCTCAAAAAGCTTGAGCCGATATTTGCCATGGCTCAGTTCATTGTGGACTCAGCTCTCTTAATTTTTCGAGCTGAGCTTGAGCTATGATTTGGATACCTGGCTCAGCTTGAGCCAGCTCATGCAGAGCTTTAACTACTAGTAGTGCTTCGATCCATAGCGGTTTTATCCGGATTTTCATCCGGATTGAATTTCATTAAATTTCGCTGGCACTATGAGTTTGGCCAGAATTAGTATAAATTTTTGGGATAATAATACTTTAAT